TTAACAGCAATTTTAATTGGAAACACAGCCGTCAATATTTGGTTTTTAATTCGGTTTTTATTGGGGTTTATATTTTTGTGTTTTTGTATTTTTGTATTTGTGTATAGTATCTGTTTTTAAATATGCTGTGAACCGCCCTGAGTCCTATGGGAGAAGGGCGGTATATAAATTAAATTATTATTATTATTATTATTATTATAAAATCCAGGATTACATAGGTCATGCCACCACTGTATTTTGTATTATTATTTCACTTGCTGGAGCTTTTACAATATGGCTTTCCATAAGCAGATTATAGTTTATTTAAATAATTGGTTTCCCATTAGCTGTTAAAATGATGGCAAATTAAAGTGGCACTTAAATCTTACTTTGAAGTGGTCTGTACATAATAAACCTTTTGTGGATCCGGGCGTTGGAGACCGCCCAGAAATGGGCTGCCAGAGGGCCGCAGAAGTGTCCCCCGGCCTCAGATCCGGGCAGCAGCGGCCTGGGGAAGGCGTCCAGCACCGGGATAGGGCTGCCAGAAGCCCACAAGAGCATCCCCAGCCTCAGATCCGGGCGGTAGCAGCCTGGAGAAGGTGTCCGGCGCCCAGATCAGTGTGCCAGAGGGCCACAGAAGCGTTCCCTGGCCTCAGATCCGGGGGGCAGTGGCCTGGAAAAGGCCTCCAATACTCCAATCCAGTCTCCGGAGGTACACGGAAGCGTCCCCAGCCTCAGATCCAGGTGGCAGTGGCCTGGAAAAGGCCTCTGATGTCCCAATCCAGCCTCTGGAGGCACATGGAAGCATCCCCCTGGCTTCGGTTCCATTCTCTGTTGCAGACAACAGAGGCCTAAAGTACCATGAGATCACGCAAGATCAGTACAGTGAGATCTCGCCCCACTTACCTCGCATGATCTTGCGTTACTTTAGGCCTCCATTCTCTGAATGCTTCGAAAGCCTGGAGCAGTCAAGGAAGCGAAGAATCTCGATCTTCGCAGGGTGAGTATTGAAGGTCTGATGCCTAGGGAGACGTGGGCCGGCGGTGGGAAAAACCAGGGTGAATGTTGCAGAGCCTCTGTGGTCTCTCGTAAGGGCGAATGACTGCCGTGGTGCTGTAATATTCATAATTTCGGGACTTGTTCATAAGCACTAGTGAACACTCGTAACCTGGGGATTACCTGTAAATATTTTCTACTTTTTCTACACAAATTAAAGCTTCCCATGATGCAGAAGTATCAACTTTTTTCTTAGACTCATCTGCACTTTTTTCTATTTTTTGTTCCTCATCATTTCCTTTAATATCTTATGTCCCATCTTTTTCTGGTATCAGTTTTTCTTTTTCTAAGTCTTCTTTAACAATTATTCCTTCTCTTGTCGCTTCTTTCTCCATTTCTTGTTCTTGTTTTTTTTCTTTTTCAGATTGCACTTCTTCTTTAGGTTTTCTGAAGCTTGTCCTTTTTCTAAACCCAGCCCAACTCTGAGTAAAAAACTTTCTCAGAGGTGATGCAGTTTCAGCAGTTGATGAGCTTACTGGAGAATCTGGAGATTTAATCCCATTGTTTTTGATTTCTGCCTCTTTGCTTTCTGCTTCCATAGGGCTTTCTGTTACTTTCTCAGAGGAGGTTTCTCCTTTCATCTCCTCAGCTTCTTCCTCAGTCTTGTCTACAGAGGCAGTGATTTCACTTTGTGTGGCTTCTCCCACTGTCTCTGTCATGAGTTGTTTATAGTCTCCAGCTACGTCACTTGACCCTTCTGCAACCTCTGGCTTTACAGCCATTAGCTGAACAGGTTCAGCTTTCTCTGTTTTATCTTTTTTAACTGTAAATTTGAATCCAACTAATTTAAAAACCTTTTTAAATCCAACATCATTTGATGGAGATACACCAGGCTGATCTTCTTTTTCTTCTGATGCCAGCTGTTTATTAGCATCTTCTGTGTCTTTCTGTACCTCATCTTCATTTGACTTGGCATTTAATTCTGCTAGGCTGGTTTTTATATTTTCAGTAGATTCCTCTTCCAGAATTAAATTTGCAGCTTTTGTTTCACCAACTGTAAAAGATATTGAAAGTTGATAAAAAAAATTAGAAGTGCCGTTGTAATAAATAATGTGGGAAGTGTAAATAAAAATAATTGGAAATATAAATAAATTGTATCTTCTCAAATTTCTTCATCCTTATTCTGAATTTTAAGAAGATATTTTAATGATAATTTCCATGAATTTTAATGCATGCTATGTGTTATGATTATGCACATTTCAAAAATGGTTCCAAATAAGTGCTTCAGAAGTAGTGCAACTCATGATATAATTCTTAAAGGAACTGAAATGCTTCTTTTCAGGCTTATGTGGAAAAAAGATGGTGTGATTTAACAAACAACAGACGTGATTGTGCAAGGGTCTTTTCAAAGACTATACTGTCCTAGTGTGTAGGAGTGGGCTCTATTTTGTGTGGATAATGAGATTGTGAAGTTGTGCAGTGTCAGAAGCAAGCTGGTGGCACAGCTCACTTTTAACTCATTGTGTAATTGTCCAAAAGTGCTCAAATTGTTTGATATACAATTTTTGAATGCTTACTTATTGAACACATTATTAATATCCCAGAAATTGTATGCAATTTTTTGTATAAATTCCAGTTATACTCCAGGTCTAGGATTGCCACAAATCCCATAATCCCTTGCCATGGCCAGAGTGACATGTGAACGGAGTTACTAAAACTTAGTAACAACTAAAATGCCATAAATTACTCTAAATTACTCTAAGTTAGAAAATTAAATCTCTACAGGCCTTAACAGTTGAACTAAATAAACCTATGCAGCATTTTATGGACTGTTGCCAAAAAATCATT